TGAGTGAGGTGTATAAATTAATTAAGATAAAAAGATGTAAATGAGAAGAAATAGTAGGAGGAAAAAAGGGAAATATATGGGGAAAAAGAAAAGTACAAGAAAATGTAAAAAAAGAAAAGAAAAGGAAGGCACGGATTATCTTTGTTGAACGGGAAATGCTCATTTCATTAACAGTTTCAACTTAGTTCCCATCAATGCCTTCATTACAAAAAGAGCTCAATCAACACAGCAGCTGGCAATTCTACGCCACCGAATGCCAAGGAAAAGGGGTCAGGAAAGATTGGTACCTTTTCGAGTTCCCAGCAGACGCTCCGGAAAAACGTCAGTCTCTTGCAATAAAATAGTTAGGACTAAAATTATCAGAATAATTCACTAGTGGCTTCAGTACAGAGCTGATAAACAACGCTGATACAGCTCCGGAAAAAGAGCTCTCTCTCTTTACACTATTTGCGCTGTTTGAAGTGCCTCGACAGCCGGCACTGTCACAAAATCACAGAACTATAGCATTTTCTGGCTCTCCTCATTCGACCGCAACATTGAAACAGGCTTGATCTGAGCGGCGCGCATATTTAGGAAATTAGCATATGAGAATAAATTGAATTGGGCAGATCAGTGCTGCTTTAAAGGGCTCTTTTCAATTGCCCTTCGTATTGTTTCAGTTCTCATAACTAACGAACGGACGGTCTGAGTAATGACGTCGCAATATTTCGCTCCACCCGGTGGTGGCCCGGGTGGGGCACCGGGGACGGTTTCTGCATATTTTGCTGCGCCAGGTGCTAGGCCTACTGGTGGTGGCGGTGGATACTGCGCACCGCAAATGAACGGCCCCGGCGGTGGTGGCGGGACTACGTCTGTTTATTTCGCTGCACCAGGAACAGCAGGTGGTGCCAGTGTGGGAACAGTATCGGCATATTTTTCACCAACCGTGCCTGGAGCTATGGGTGGTGGTGGTGGCGGTGCTGCTGCTGCTGCTCCACCAAGACCTGCGCCAGGTACGCTCACGCTTCTTCAATAAATGTAAAAAAAAAGCAAAATTTTGATAAAAACGCAAAGTTGAACTCAGAAAGGGTTGCACCTCGCCTTCCTAGTGCTGTAATTTTAGTTATTAGAAAAGCACATAAATGGCCTACCTTTGAATCTGACGCATGCACAGTACTGCACTTGAATATCTCTGGCCCCTTCGACTCACCACAGGCTTTCTCAG